TCTATATCATTTATAATACCTAGATATTTTTTAAAATGCAATTTAAAGCATTTTTGGTTTCGATCACAGTAGGCTATTTTCAAAAAACTATCGATTTTATATCTATATTAGCATTCTATATCATTTATAATACCTAAAAATGTTTTAAAATGCAATTTTAAGCATTTTTGGATTCAATCACAGTAGGTTTTTTTCAAAAACAAATATCGATTTTATATCTATATTAGCATTCTTTATCATTTATAATACCTAGACATGTTTTAAAATGCAATTTTAAGCATTTTTGGTTTTGATCATAGTAGGCTATTTTCAAAAAAATATCGATTTTATATCTATATTAGCATTCTTTATCATTAATTATACCTAAAAATGTTTTAAAATGCAATTTTAAGCATTTTTGGATTCAATCACAGTAGGCTATTTTCAAAAACAAATATCGATTTTATATCTATATTAGCATTCTTTATCATTAATTATACCTAGATATGTTTTAAAATGCAATTTTAAGCATTTTTGGTTTCGATCATAGTAGGCTATTTTCAAAAAAATATCGATTTTATATCTATATTAGCATTCTTTATCATTTATAATACCTAGATATGCTTTAAAATGCAATTCAAATCATTTTTGGTTTCGATCATAGTAGGCTATTTTCAAAAAAATATCGATTTTATATCTATATTAGCATTCTTTATCATTAATTATACCTAAAAATGTTTTAAAATGCAATTTTAAGCATTTTTGGATTCAATCACAGTAGGCTATTTTCAAAAACAAATATCGATTTTATATCTATATTAGCATTCTTTATCATTAATTATACCTAGATATGTTTTAAAATGCAATTTTAAGCATTTTTGGTTTCGATCATAGTAGGCTATTTTCAAAAAAATATCGATTTTATATCTATATTAGCATTCTATATCATTTATAATACCAAGATATTTTTTAAAATGCAATTTAAAGCATTTTTGGTTTCGATCACAGTAGGCTATTTTCAAAAACAAATATCGATTTTATATCTATATTAGCATTCTTTATCATTTATAATACCTAGACATGTTTTAAAATGCAATTTTAAGCATTTTTGGTTTTGATCATAGTAGGCTATTTTCAAAAAAATATCGATTTTATATCTATATTAGCATTCTTTATCATTAATTATACCTAAAAATGTTTTAAAATGCAATTTTAAGCATTTTTGGATTCAATCACAGTAGGCTATTTTCAAAAACAAATATCGATTTTATATCTATATTAGCATTCTTTATCATTTATAATACCAAGATATGCTTTAAAATGCAATTCAAATCATTTTTGGTTTCGATCATAGTAGGCTATTTTCAAAAAAATATCGATTTTATATCTATATTAGCATTCTTTATCATTTATAATACCTAGATATGCTTTAAAATGCAATTTAAAGCATTTTTGGTTTTGATCAAAGTAGGTTATTTTCAATAAAAATATCGATTTTATATCTATATTAGCATTCTTTATCATTTATAATACCTAGATATGCTTTAAAATGCAATTCAAATCATTTTTGGTTTCGATCATAGTAGGCTATTTTCAAAAAAATATCGATTTTATATCTATATTAGCATTCTTTATCATTTATAATACCTAGATATGCTTTAAAATGCAATTTAAAGCATTTTTGGTTTTGATCAAAGTAGGTTATTTTCAATAAAAATATCGATTTTATATCTATATTAGCATTCTATATCATTTATAATACCTAGATATTTTTTAAAATGCAATTTAAAGCATTTTTGGTTTCGATCACAGTAGGCTATTTTCAAAAAACTATCGATTTTATATCTATATTAGCATTCTATATCATTTATAATACCTAAAAATGTTTTAAAATGCAATTTTAAGCATTTTTGGATTCAATCACAGTAGGTTTTTTTCAAAAACAAATATCGATTTTATATCTATATTAGCATTCTTTATCATTTATAATACCTAGATATGTTTTAAAATGCAATTTAAAGCATTTTTGGTTTTGATCATAGTAGGCTATTTTCAAAAAACTATCGATTTTATATCTATATTAGCATTCTATATCATTTATAATACCTAGATATTTTTTAAAATGCAATTTAAAGCATTTTTGGTTTCGATCACAGTAGGCTATTTTCAAAAAACTATCGATTTTATATCTATATTAGCATTCTATATCATTTATAATACCTAAAAATGTTTTAAAATGCAATTTTAAGCATTTTTGGATTCAATCACAGTAGGCTATTTTCAAAAACAAATATCGATTTTATATCTATATTAGCATTCTTTATCATTATTTATACCTAGATATGTTTTAAAATGCAATTTTAAGCATTTTTGGTTTCGATCATAGTAGGCTATTTTCAAAAAAAATATCGATTTTATATCTATATTAGCATTCTTTATCATTTATAATACCTAGATATGCTTTAAAATGCAATTCAAATCATTTTTGGTTTCGATCATAGTAGGCTATTTTCAAAAAAATATCGATTTTATATCTATATTAGCATTTTTTATCATTTATAATACCTAGATATGCTTTAAAATGCAATTTAAAGCATTTTTGGTTTTGATCAAAGTAGGTTATTTTCAAAAAAAATATCGATTTTATATCTATATTAGCATTCTTTATCATTTATAATACCTAGATATGTTTTAAAATGCAATTTTAAGCATTTTTGGTTTCGATCATAGTAGGCTATTTTCAAAAAACTATCGATTTTATATCTATATTAGCATTCTATATCATTTATAATACCTAGATATTTTTTAATATGCAATTTAAAGCATTTTTGGTTTCGATCACAGTAGGCTATTCTCAAAAAACTATCGATTTTATATCTATATTAGCATTCTATATCATTTATAATACCTAAAAATGTTTTAAAATGCAATTTTAAGCATTTTTGGATTCAATCACAGTAGGCTATTTTCAAAAACAAATATCGATTTTATATCTATATTAGCATTCTTTATCATTTATAATACCTAGATATGTTTTAAAATGCAATTTAAAGCATTTTTGGTTTTGATCATAGTAGGCTATTTTCAAAAAACTATCGATTTTATATCTATATTAGCATTCTATATCATTTATAATACCAAGATATTTTTTAAAATGCAATTTAAAGCATTTTTGGTTTCGATCACAGTAGGCTATTTTCAAAAACAAATATCGATTTTATATCTATATTAGCATTCTTTATCATTTATAATACCTAGATATGTTTTAAAATGCAATTTAAAACATTTTTCATAGTAGGCTATTTTCAAAAAAATATCGATTTTATATCTATATTAGCATTCTTTATCATTTATAATACCTAGACATGTTTTAAAATGCAATTTTAAGCATTTTTGGTTTTGATCATAGTAGGCTATTTTCAAAAAAATATCGATTTTATATCTATATTAGCATTCTTTATCATTAATTATACCTAAAAATGATTTAAAATGCAATTTTAAGCATTTTTGGATTCAATCACAGTAGGCTATTTTCAAAAACAAATATCGATTTTATATCTATATTAGCATTCTTTATCATTAATTATACCTAGATATGTTTTAAAATGCAATTTAAAGCATTTTTGGTTTCGATCATAGTAGGCTATTTTCAAAAAACTATCGATTTTATATCTATATTAGCATTCTATATCATTTATAATACCTAGATATTTTTTAAAATGCAATTTAAAGCATTTTTGGTTTCGATCACAGTAGGCTATTCTCAAAAAACTATCGATTTTATATCTATATTAGCATTCTTTATCATTAATTATACCTAAAAATGTTTTAAAATGCAATTTTAAGCATTTTTGGATTCAATCACAGTAGGTTTTTTTCAAAAAAAAATATCGATTTTATATCTATATTAGCATTCTTTATCATTTATAATACCTAGATATGCTTTAAAATGCAATTCAAATCATTTTTGGTTTCGATCATAGTAGGTTATTTTCAAAAAAATATCGATTTTATATCTATATTAGCATTTTTTATCATTTATAATACCTAGATATGCTTTAAAATGCAATTTAAAGCATTTTTGGTTTTGATCAAAGTAGGCTATTTTCAAAAACAAATATCGATTTTATATCTATATTAGCATTCTTTATCATTTATAATACCTAGATATGTTTTAAAATGCAATTTTAAGCATTTTTGGTTTTGATCATAGTAGGCTATTTTCAAAAAAATATCGATTTTATATCTATATTAGCATTCTTTATCATTTATAATACCTAAAAATGTTTTAAAATGCAATTTTAAGCATTTTTGGATTCAATCACAGTAGGCTATTTTCAAAAACAAATATCGATTTTATATCTATATTAGCATTCTTTATCATTTATAATACCTAGATATGTTTTAAAAATACTTTATAAAAAAAAACTTTTTAAAAAACTACGTTTTTCGCGTAGACTAAAAAGTAGAAAATAACTTTTATTCTTGGTTGTAAAGAATTTGGTTTTAAATTTTAAGATTGTATTTAATAAATTTTTATATCCTAGTCAATATTGTTCACAAAGTTTCGAATAAGTGCACTTTGATCTTATCGTATAACTCAACAACTTAAAAACGTGGGCGCATTAATTTAAGTTTATCATAAAGTATTGATTTCACATAAACTTATTTCTCCTCTTATAATGCGCCCACGTTTTTAAGTTGTTGAGTTATACGATAAGATCAAAGTGCACTTATTCGAAACTTTGTGAACAATATTGACTAGGATATAAAAATTTAATAAATATAATCTGAAAATTTAAAACCAAATTCTTTACAACCAAGAATAAAAGTTATTTTCTACTTTTTAGTCTACGCGAAAAACGTAGTTTTTTAAAAAGTTTTTTTTTATAAAGTATTTTATTTTCTACTTTTTAGTCTTATTCTAATGAAATAGAGAAATAAAGAGTAAAGGGGGTTTATAGGTTACAGGTGTGTTGAACTCCACTTCGTTGCACTTCGTTACGTTCAACTGTTTATAGATCACAGTAGGTTTATAGGTTACAGGTGTGTTGAACTTCACTTCGTTACGTTCAACTGTTTATAGATTACAGTAGGTTTATAGGTTACAGGTGTGTTGAACTTCACTTCGTTGCACTTCGTTACGTTCAACTGTTTATAGATCACAGTAGGTTTATAGGTTACAGGTGTGTTGAACTTCACTTCGTTACGTTCAACTGTTTATAGATTACAGTAGGTTTATAGGTTACAGGTGTGTTGAACTTCACTTCGTTGCACTTCGTTACGTTCAACTGTTTATAGATTACAGTAGGTTCATAGGTTACAGGTGTGTTGAACTCCACTTCGTTGCACTTCGTTACGTTCAACTGTTTATAGATTAGAGTAGGTTTATAGGTTACAGGTGTGTTGAACTTCACTTCGTTGCACTTCGTTACGTTCAACTGTTTATAGATCACAGTAGGTTTATAGGTTACAGGTGTGTTGAACTACACTTCGTTGCACTTCGTTACGTTCAACTGTTTATAGATTACATTAGGTTTATAGATTACAGGTGTGTTGAACTTCACTTCGCTGCACTTCGTTACGTTCAACTGTTTATAGATTACAGTAGGTTTATAGGTTACAGGTGTGTTGAACTTCACTTCGTTGCACTTCGTTACGTTCAACTGTTTATAGATTACAGTAGGTTTATAGGTTACAGGTGTGTTGAACTTCACTTCGTTGCGTTCAACTGTTTATAAATTACCAGTTTTCAATGGGAAATTAGTAACGACTTTCAAAATTTTTCATTCGTTTTATAAAATTTAATTTTTTTAAAGCATTCATTAGTAAAGTACATTAAAAATCACTCGTAAAGATTTTGTGTTTATCTGTACCATTTCTACTTTATAACGTGTGGATTCTTAACATAAAGATGCAAATCACATATGTAACGTATTTATAACGGATTTTCAAATTTAAATTCAATGAATATCATTTATATGTTATGCAAAAATACGTCAAACCGTTAATAAAAAGAAAAGTCAATTTAATTAAGTTGGTGAAGTGTTATAAATAATGCAAAACATTTAAAACAGCATAAATTTATGCTCAAACTATGTGTGCTAAATGCACATCGCATATTAATAGTTATTTTGCATTAATTCGTAACGGACTTGTGCTTAACGGTTTTTTTGAAAATTCAAATTTTCACTTACGAATATTCATGAAAAAATTACATGTCAATTTTTTTGTCTTACCAGAATATCTTTAGCTGCTCAAATTTATGGTATAATTAATAATTAGTAATATTAATTAAACTATAATGAATCATATAAATGACTTTAGAGCATCACAAGTATAATATTTAATACAAATCAAAATTTTATATCATTGACATTGGATTTTTTCCCATATAAAAAAGTTTTACATAAATTGTACTATAATTAAGCATTTTTGTGTTTCCAAAGTGTTAAAATATTGTATTGTCACCGGAAATACATGTGCATTAAAAATTTTAGCTCGATTGGAGCAGTAGAAGTGGCCCAAAAATTGATCGCAAGATTTGAAATTTTTTGCAAACAAACAAACAAACAAACAAACAAACAAACAAACAAACAAACAAACAAACAAACAAGAAAGCAAGTTAAGAAAAACGTAGTAAAATAATAAAAATGCAATTTAAAGCATTTTTGGTTTCGATCACAGTAGGCTATTTTCAAAAACAAATATCGATTTTATATCTATATTAGCATTCTTTATCATTTATAATACCTAGATATGTTTTAAAATGCAATTTAAAGCATTTTTCATAGTAGGCTATTTTCAAAAAAATATCGATTTTATATCTATATTAGCATTCTTTATCATTTATAATACCTAGACATGTTTTAAAATGCAATTTTAAGCATTTTTGGTTTTGATCATAGTAGGCTATTTTCAAAAAAATATCGATTTTATATCTATATTAGCATTCTTTATCATTAATTATACCTAGATATGTTTTAAAATGCAATTTTAAGCATTTTTGGTTGTGATCATAGTAGGCTATTTTCAAAAAACTATCGATTTTATATCTATATTAGCATTCTATATCATTTATAATACCTAGATATTTTTTAAAATGCAATTTAAAGCATTTTTGGTTTCGATCACAGTAGGCTATTTTCAAAAAACTATCGATTTTATATCTATATTAGCATTTTTTATCATTAATTATACCTAGATATGTTTTAAAATGCAATTTTTAGCATTTTTGGTTTTGATCATAGTAGGCTATTTTCAAAAAAATATCAATTTTATATCAATATTAGCATTCTTTATCATTAATAATACCTAGATATGTTTTAAAATGCAATTTAAAGCATTTTTGGTTTTGATCATAGTAGGCTATTTTCAAAAAACTATCGATTTTATATCTATATTAGCATTCTATATCATTTATAATACCTAGATATTTTTTAAAATGCAATTTAAAGCATTTTTGGTTTCGATCACAGTAGGCTATTTTCAAAAAACTATCGATTTTATATCTATATTAGCATTTTTTATCATTAATTATACCTAGATATGTTTTAAAATGCAATTTTTAGCATTTTTGGTTTTGATCATAGTAGGCTATTTTCAAAAAAATATCGATTTTATATCTATATTAGCATTCTATATCATTTATAATACCTAAAAATGTTTTAAAATGCAATTTTAAGCATTTTTGGATTCAATCACAGTAGGTTTTTTTCAAAAACAAATATCGATTTTATATCTATATTAGCATTCTTTATCATTTATAATACCTAGATATGTTTTAAAATGCAATTTAAAGCATTTTTGGTTTTGATCATAGTAGGCTATTTTCAAAAAACTATCGATTTTATATCTATATTAGCATTCTATATCATTTATAATACCTAGATATTTTTTAAAATGCAATTTAAAGCATTTTTGGTTTCAATCACAGTAGGCTATTTTCAAAAAACTATCGATTTTATATCTATATTAGCATTCTATATCATTTATAATACCTAAAAATGTTTTAAAATGCAATTTTAAGCATTTTTGGATTCAATCACAGTAGGCTATTTTCAAAAACAAATATCGATTTTATATCTATATTAGCATTCTTTATCATTAATTATACCTAGATATGTTTTAAAATGCAATTTTAAGCATTTTTGGTTTCGATCATAGTAGGCTATTTTCAAAAAAAAATATCGATTTTATATCTATATTAGCATTCTATATCATTTATAATACCTAGATATGTTTTAAAATGCAATTTAAAGCATTTTTCATAGTAGGCTATTTTCAAAAAAATATCGATTTTATATCTATATTAGCATTCTTTATCATTTATAATACCTAGACATGTTTTAAAATGCAATTTTAAGCATTTTTGGTTTTGATCATAGTAGGCTATTTTCAAAAAAATATCGATTTTATATCTATATTAGCATTCTTTATCATTAATTATACCTAGATATGTTTTGAAATGCAATTTTAAGCATTTTTGGTTTTGATCATAGTAGGCTATTTTCAAAAAAATATCAATTTTATATCAATATTAGCATTCTTTATCATTAATAATACCCAGATATGTTTAAAATGCAATTTTAAGCATTTTTCGTAGTAGGCTATTTTCAAAAAAATATCGATTTTATATCTATATTAGTATTCTTTATCATTTATAATACCTAGATATGTTTTAAAATGCAATTTAAAGCATTTTTGGTTTTGATCAAAGTAGGTTATTTTCAAAAAAAATATCGATTTTATATCTATATTAGCATTCTTTATCATTTATAATACCTAGATATGTTTTAAAATGCAATTTTAAGCATTTTTGGTTTCGATCATAGTAGGTTATTTTCAAGAAAAATATCGATTTTATATCTATATTAGCATTCTTAATCATTTAAAATACCTAGATATGTTTTAAAATGCAATTTAAAGCATTTTTGGTTTCGATCACAGTAGGCTATTTTCAAAAACAAATATCGATTATATATCTATATTAGCATTCTTTATCATTTATAATACCTAGATATGTTTTAAAATGCAATTTAAAACATTTTTCATAGTAGGCTATTTTCAAAAAAATATCGATTTTATATCTATATTAGCATTCTTTATCATTTATAATACCTAGACATGTTTTAAAATGCAATTTTAAGCATTTTTGGTTTTGATCATAGTAGGCTATTTTCAAAAAAATATCGATTTTATATCTATATTAGCATTCTTTATCATTAATTATACCTAAAAATGTTTTAAAATGCAATTTTAAGCATTTTTGGATTCAATCACAGTAGGCTATTTTCAAAAACAAATATCGATTTTATATCTATATTAGCATTCTTTATCATTAATTATACCTAGATATGTTTTAAAATGCAATTTTAAGCATTTTTGGTTTCGATCATAGTAGGCTATTTTCAAAAAAATATCGATTTTATATCTATATTAGCATTCTTTATCATTTATAATACCTAGATATGTTTTAAAATGCAATTTTAAGCATTTTTCATAGTAGACTATTTTCAAAAAAATATCGATTTTATATCTATATTAGCATTCTATATCATTTATAATACCTAAAAATGTTTTAAAATGCAATTTTAAGCATTTTTGGATTCGATCACAGCAGGCTATTTTAAAAAACAAATATCGATTTTATATCTATATTAGCATTCTTTATCATTTATAATACCTAGATATGTTTTAAAATGCAATTTAAAGCATTTTTGGTTTTGATCATAGTAGGCTATTTTCAAAAAACTATCGATTTTATATCTATATTAGCATTCTATATCATTTATAATACCTAGATATTTTTTAAAATGCAATTTAAAGCATTTTTGGTTTCTATCACCTATGCTATTTTCAAAAAACTATCGATTTTATATCTATATTAGCATTCTATATCATTTATAATACCTAGATATGTTTTAAAATGCAATTTAAAGCATTTTTCATAGTAGGTTTTTTTCAAAAAAATATCGATTTTATATCTATATTAGCATTCTTTATCATTTATAATACCTAGACATGTTTTAAAATGCAATTTTAAGCATTTTTGGTTTTGATCATAGTAGGCTATTTTCAAAAAAATATCGATTTTATATCTATATTAGCATTCTTTATCATTAATTATACCTAGATATATTTTAAAATGCAATTTTAAGCATTTTTGGTTTTGATCATAGTAGGCTATTTTCAAAAAAATATCAATTTTATATCAATATTAGCATTCTTTATCATTAATAATACCCAGATATGTTTTAAAATGCAATTTTAAGCATTTTTCATAGTAGGCTATTTTCAAAAAAATATCGATTTTATATCTATATTAGCATTCTATATCATTTAAAATACCTAAATATGTTTTAAAATGCAATTTTTAGCATTTTTGGATTCGATCACAGTAGGCTATTTTCAACAAAAAATATCGATTTTATATCTATATTAGCATTCTATATCATTTAAAATACCTAGATATTTTTTAAAATGCAATTTAAAGCATTTTTGGTTTCGATCACAGTAGGCTATTTTCAAAAAACTATCGATTTTATATCTATATTAGCATTCTATATCATTTATAATACCTAGATATGTCTTAAAATGCAATTTTAAGCATTTTTGGTTTTGATCATAGTAGCCTATTTAAAAAAAATATTGATTTAATATCTATATTAGCATTCTTTATCATTAATAATACCTAGATATGTTTTAAAATGCAATTTTAAGCATTTTTGGTTTTGATCATAGCAGGCTATTTTCAAAAAACTATCGATTTTATATCTATATTAGCATTCTTTATCATTTATAATACCTAGACATGTTTTAAAATGCAATTTTAAGCATTTTTGGTTTTAATCATAGTAGGCTATTTTCAAAAAAATATCGATTTTATATCTATATTAGCATTCTTTATCATTAATTATACCTAGATATGTTTTAAAATGCAATTTTAAGCATTTTTGGTTTTGATCATAGTAGGCTATTTTCAAAAAAAAAATATCAATTTTATATCAATATTAGCATTCTTTATCATTAATAATACCTAGATATGTTTTAAAATGCAATTTAAAGCATTTTTCATAGTAGGCTATTTTCAAAAAAATATCAATTTTATATCAATATTAGCATTCTTTATCATTAATAATACCTAGATATGTTTTAAAATCCAATTTTAAGCATTTTTGGTTTTGATCATAGTAGCCTATTTAAAAAAAAATATCGATTTTATATCTATATTAGCATTCTTTATAATTAATTATACCTAGATATGTTTTAAAATGCAATTTTAATCATTTTTGGTTTTGATCATAGTAGGCTATTTTCAAAAAAATATTGATTTAATATCTATATTAGCATTTTTTTATCATTAATAATACCTAGATATGTTTTAAAATGCAATTTTAAGCATTTTTGGTTTTGATCATAGCAGGATTTTTCAAAAAACTATCGATTTTATATCTATATTAGCATTCTTTATCATTTATAATACCTAGACATGTTTTAAAATGCAATTTTAAGCATTTTTGGTTTTGTTCACAGTAGGCTATTTTACTACGTTTTTCTTGACTTGCTTTCTTATCTGTCTGTTTATTTGTCTGTCGAGGTCAAATCTTGCGATCAATTTTTCGACCACTTCTACTGCTCCAATCGAGCTCATTTCTTTTATTCACACGTATTCCCGGTGACAATACAATATTTTAACACATTGGAACCATAAAAATGCTTAATTATAGTACAATTTTAATAAAACTTTTTTATTTGGGAGAAAAATCCAATGTCAATGATATGAAATTTTGATTTGTTTAAAATATTAGACTTGTGATGCTCTAAAGTCATTTATATGATTCATTATAGTTTAATTAATATTACTAATTATTAATTATACCATAAATTTGAGCAGCTAAAGATATTCTGGTAAGACAAAAAAATTGACATGTAATTTTTTCATGAATATTCGTAAGTGAAAATTTGAATTTTTAAAAAACCGTTAAGCACAAGTCCGTTACGAATTTATGCAAAATAACTATTAATATGCGATGTGCATTTAGCACACATTGATTGAGCATAAATTTATGCTGTTTTAAATGTATTGCATTATTTATAACACTTCACCAACTTAATTAAATTGACTTTTCTTTTTATTAACGGCTTGACGTATTTTTGCATAACATATGAATGATATTCATTGAATTTAAATTTGAAAATCCGTTATAAATACGTTACATATAGATTTGATTTGCATCTTTATGTTAAGAATCCACACGTTATGTAGTAGGAATGGTTCGGATAAACACAAAATCTTTACGAGTGATTTTTAATGTACTTTACTAATGAATGCTTTAAAAAAATTAAATTTTATAAAACGAATGAAAAATTTTGAAAGTCGTTACTAATTTCCCATTGAAAACTGGTAATTTATAAACAGTTGAACGTAACGGAGTGAAACGAAGTGGAGTTCAACACACCAGTAACCTATGAACCTACTGTAATCTATAAACAGTTGAACGTAACGAAGTGCAACGAAGTGGAGTTCAACACACCAGTAACCTATGAACCTACTGTAATCTATAAACAGTTGAACGTAACGAAGTGCAACGAAGTGAAGTTCAACACACCTGTAACCTATAAACCCACTGTAATCTTTAAACAGTTGAACGTAACGAAGTGCAACGAAGTGAAGTTCAACACACCTGTAACCTATAAACCTACTGTAATCTATAAATAGTTGAACGTAACGAAGTGCAACGAAGTGGAGTTCAACACACCAGTAACCTATGAACCTACTGTAATCTATAAACAGTTGAACGTAACGAAGTGCAACGAAGTGGAGTTCAACACACCTGTAACCTATAAACCCACTGTAATCTTTAAACAGTTGAACGTAACGAAGTGCAACGAAGTGAAGTTCAACACACCTGTAACCTATAAACCTACTGTAATCTATAAACAGTTGAACGTAACGAAGTGCAACGAAGTGAAGTTCAACACACCTGTAACCTATAAACCTACTGTAATCTATAAACAGTTGAACGTAACGAAGTGCAACGAAGTGAAGTTCAACACACCTGTAACCTATGAACCTACTGTAATCTATAAACAGTTGAACGTAACGAAGTGCAACGAAGTGAAGTTCAACACACCTGTAACCTATAAACCTACTGTAATCTATAAACAGTTGAACGTAACGAAGTGAAGTTCAACACACCTGTAACCTATAAACCCCCTATAATCTTTATTTCTCTATTTCATTAGAATAAGACTAAAAAGTAGAAAATAAAATACTTTATAAAAAAAACTTTTTAAAAAAACTACGTTTTTCGCGTAGACTAAAAAGTAGAAAATAACTTTTATTCTTGGTTGTAAAGAATTTGGTTTTAAATTTTCAGATTATATTTAATAAATTTTTATATCCTAGTCAATATTGTTCACAAAGTTTCGAATAAGTGCACTTTGATCTTATCGTATAACTCAACAACTTAAAAACGTGGGCGCATTATAAGAGAAGAAATAAGTTTATGCGAAATCAATACTTTATGATAAACTTAAATTAATGCGCCCACGTTTTTAAGTTGTTGAGTTATACGATAAGATCAAAGTGCACTTATTCGAAACTTTGTGAACAATATTGACTAGGATATAAAAATTTATTTAATATAATCTGAAAATTTAAAACCAAATTCTTTACAACCAAGAATAAAAGTTATTTTCTACTTTTTAGTCTACGCGAAAAACGTAGTTTTTTTAAAAAAATTTTTTTATAAAGTATTTCAAAAAAATATCAATTTTATATCAATATTGGCATTCTTTATCATTAATAAAACCTAGATATGTTTTAAAATGCAATTTAAAGCATTTTTCATAGTAGGCTATTTTCAAAAAAATATCGATTTTATATCTATATTAGCATTCTTTATCATTTATAATACCTAGACATGTTTTAAAATGCAATTTTAAGCATTTTTGGTTTTGATCATATTAGGTTATTTTCAAATAAATATCGATTTTATATCTATATTAGCATTCTTTATCATTAATTATACCTAGATATGTTTTAAAATGCAATTTTAAGCATTTTTGGTTTTGATCATAGTAGGCTATTTTCAAAAAAATATCAATTTTATATCAATATTATCATTCTTTATCATTAATAATACCTAGATATGTTTTAAAATGCAATTTTAAGCATTTTTCATAAAAGGCTATTTTCAAAAAAATATCGATTTTATATCTATATTAGCATTCTTTATCATTTATAATACCTAGAAATGCTTTATAATGCAATTTAAAGCATTTTTGGTTTCGATCATAGTAGGCTATTTTCAAAAAAAATATCGATTTTATATCTATATTAGCATTCTTTATCATTTATAATACCTAGATATGCTTTAAAATGCAATTTAAAGCATTTTTGGTTTTGATCAAATTAGGTTATTTTCAAAAAAAAAATATCGATTTTATATCTATATTAGCATTCTTTATCATTTATAATACCAAGATATGTTTTAAAATGCAATTTTAAGCATTTTTGGTTTCGATCATAGTAGGCTATTTTCAAGAAAAATATCGATTTTATATCTATATTAGCATTCTTTATCATTAATAATACCTAGATATGTTTTAAAATGCAATTTTAAGCATTTTTGGTTTTGATCATAGCAGGCTATTTTCAAAAAAGTATCGATTTTATATCTATATTAGCATTCTTTATCATTTATAATACCTAGATATGCTTTAAAATCCAATTTTAAGCATTTTTGGTTTTGATCATAGTATCCTATTTAAAAAAAAATATCGATTTTATATCTATATTAGCATTCTATATCATTTATAATACCTAGATATGTTATAAAATCCAATTTTAAGCATTTTTGGTTTTGATCATAGTAGCCTATTTAAAAAAAAATATCGATTTTATATCTATATTAGCATTCTATATCATTTATAATACCTAAATATGTTTTAAAATGCAATTTTAAGCATTTTTGGTTTCGATCATAGTAGGCTATTTTCAAAAAAAATATCGATTTTATATCTATATTAGCATTCTTTATCATTTATAATACCTAGAAATGCTTTATAATGCAATTTAAAGCATTTTTGGTTTCGATCATAGTAGGCTATTTTCAAAAAAAATATCGATTTTATATCTATATTAGCATTCTTTATCATTTATAATACCTAGATATGTTTTAAAATGCAATTTAAAGCATTTTTCATAGTAGGCTATTTTCAAAAAAATATCGATTTTATATCTATATTAGCATTCTATATCATTTATAATACCTAGATATTTTTTAAAATGCAATTTAAAGCATTTTTGGTTTCGATCACAGTAGGCTTTTTTCAAAAAACTATTGATTTAATATCTATATTAGCATTCTTTATCATTAATAATACCTAGATATGTTTTAAAATGCAATTTTAAGCATTTTTGGTTTTGATCATAGCAGGCTATTTTCAAAAAAGTATCGATTTTATATCTATATTAGCATTCTTTATCATTTATAATACCTAGATATTCTTTAAAATCCAATTTTAAGCATTTTTGGTTTTGATCATAGTATCCTATTTAAAAAAAAATATCGATTTTATATCTATATTTGCATTCTATATCATTTATAATACCTAGATATGTTATAAAATCCAATTTTAAGCATTTTTGGTTTTGATCATAGTAGCCTATTTAAAAAAAAATATCGATTTTATATCTATATTAGCATTCTATATCATTTATAATACCTAAATATGTTTTAAAATGCAATTTTAAGCATTTTTGGTTTCGATCATAGTAGGCTATTTTCAAAAAAAATATCGATTTTATATCTATATTAGCATTCTTTATCATTTATATTACCTAGATATTTTTTATTTATTATTATTTATTTATTTTTGGTTTTGATCATAGTAGGCTATTTTCAAAAAAATATTGATTTAATATCTATATTAGAATTCTTTATCATTAATAATACCTAGATATGTTTTAAAATGCAATTTAAAGCATTTTTCGTAGAAGGCTATTTTCAAAAAAATATCGATTTTATATCTATATTAGCATTCTATATCATTTAAAATACCTATATATGTTTTAAAATGCAATTTAAAGCATTTTTCATAGTGGGCTATTTTAAAAAAAATATCGATTTTATATCTATATTAGCATTCTATATCATTTATAATACCTATATATGTTTTAAAATGCAATTTTAAGCATTTTTGGTTTCGATCATAGTAGGCTATTTTCAAAAAAAATATCGATTTTATATCTATATTAGCATTCTTTATCATTAATTATACCTAGATATGTTTTAAAATGCAATTTAAAGCATTTTTGGTTTTGATCATAGTAGGCTATTTTCAAAAAAATATTGATTTAATATCTATATTAGCATTCTTTATCATTTATAATACCTAGACATGTTTTAAAATGCAATTTTAAGCATTTTTGGTTTTGATCATAGTAGGCTATTTTCAAAAAAACATCGATTTTATATCTATATTAGCATTCTTAATCATTAATTATACCTAGATATGTTTTAAAATGCAATTTTAAGCATTTTTGGTTTTGACCATAGTAGGCTATTTTCAAAAAAATATCAATTTTATATCAATATTAGCATTCTTTATCATTTAAAGTACCTAGATATGTTTTAAAATGCAATTTAAAACATTTTTGGTTTTGATCATAGGAGGCTATTTTCAAAAAAAAAAACGATTTTATATATATATTAGCATTCTTTATCATTTATAATACCCAGATATGTTTTAAAATGCAATTTTAAGCATTTTTGGTTTTGATCATAGTAGGCTATTTTCAAAAAAATATCAATTTTATATCAATATTAGCATTCTATATTATTTATAATACCTAGATATGTTTTAAAATGAAATTTTAAACAATTTTGGTTTTGATCATAGTAGGCTATTTTCAAAAAACTATCGATGTAATATCTATATTCGCATTCTATATCATTTATAATACCTATATATGTTTTAAAATGCAATTTTAAGCATTTTTGGTTTCGATCATAGTAGGCTATTTTCAAAAAAAATATCGATTTTATATCTATATTAGCATTCTTTATCATTAATTATACCTAGATATGTTTTAAAATGCAATTTTAAGCATTTTTGGTTTTGATCATAGTAGGCTATTTTCAAAAAATATTGATTTAATATCTATATTAGCATTCTTTATCATTTATAATACCTAGACATGTTTTAAAATGCAATTTTAAGCATTTTTGGTTTTGATCATAGTAGGCTATTTTCAAAAAAACATCGATTTTATATCTATATTAGCATTCTTAATCATTAATTATACCTAGATATGTTTTAAAATGCAATTTTAAGCATTTTTGGTTTTCATCATAGTAGGCTATTTTCAAAAAAATATCAATTTTATATCAATATTAGCATTCTTTATCATTTAAAGTACCTATATATGTTTTAAAATGCAATTTAAAGCATTTTTCATAGTAGGCTATTTTAAAAAAAATATCGATTTTATATCTATATTAGCATTCTATATCATTTTTAATACCTAAAAATGTTTTAAAATGCAATTTTAAGCATTTTTGGTTTCGATCATAGTAGGCTATTTTCAAAAAAAATATCGATTTTATATCTATATTAGCATTCTTTATCATTAATTATACCTAGATATGTTTTAAAATGCAATTTTAAGCATTTTTGGTTTTGATCATAGTAGGCTATTTTCAAAAAAATATTGATTTAATATTTATATTAGCATTCTTTATCATTTATAATACCTAGACATGTTTTAAAATGCAATTTTAAGCATTTTTGGTTTTGATCATAGTATCCTATTTTCAAAAAAACATCGATTTTATATCTATATTAGCATTCTTAATCATTAATTATACCTAGATATGTTTTAAAATGCAATTTTAAGCATTTTTGGTTTTGATCATAGTAGCCTATTTAAAAAAAAATATCGATTTTATATCTATATTAGCATTCTTTATCATTTAAAATACCTATATATGTTTTAAAATGCAATTTAAAGCATTTTTCATAGTGGGCTATTTTAAAAAAAATATCGATTTTATATCTATATTAGCATTCTATATCATTTATAATACCTATATATGTTTTAAAATGCAATTTTAAGCATTTTTGGTTTCGATCATAGTAGGCTATTTTCAAAAAAATATCAATTTTATATCAATATTAGCATTCTATATTATTTATAATACCTAGATATGTTTTAAAATGCAATTTTAAGCATTTTTGGTTTTGATCATAGTAGGCTATTTTCAAAAAAATATCAATTTTATATCAATATTAGCATTCTATATTATTTATAATACCTAGATATGTTTTAAAATGCAATTTTAAACAATTTTGGTTTTGATCATAGTAGGCTATTTTCAAAAAACTATCGATGTAATATCTATATTCGCATTCTATATCATTTATAATACCTATATATGTTTTAAAATGCAATTTTAAGCATTTTTGGTTTCGATCATAGTAGGCTATTTTCAAAAAAAATATCGATTTTATATCTATATTATCATTCTTTATCATTAATTATACCTAGATATGTTTTAAAATGCAATTTTAAGCATTTTTGGTTTTGATCATAGTAGGCTATTTTCAAAAAATATTGATTTAATATCTATATTAGCATTCTTTATCATTTATAATACCTAGACATGTTTTAAAATGCAATTTTAAGCATTTTTGGTTTTGATCATAGTAGGCTATTTTCAAAAAAACATCGATTTTATATCTATATTAGCATTCTTAATCATTAATTATACCTAGATATGTTTTAAAATGCAATTTTAAGCATTTTTGGTTTTCATCATAGTAGGCTATTTTCAAAAAAATATCAATTTTATATCAATATTAGCATTCTTTATCATTTAAAGTACCTATATATGTTTTAAAATGCAATTTAAAGCATTT